AATTAAAGTTTTATAGTGTTTCCTAGTGAGTTTCCAAAGGCGCAGCAAATAGTGCCGAAACATTTTAGAAATTTTTGGTGCGTTTTATATTGAGCTTGTTATTTTTTCTGTTATTTTTGCCAATAGAAAATTTTTTATGAATTTCGGAGTAGGTCCNTAATAGTTCTCATTAAGAGGTTTTACGGTATACGTATTTTTCAATTTTTTCAAAAGTCCACCGACGGACAGACGCCTCTAGCGTTTTATTTACAAGGAAAATTTTTGCTTCTCCCAATGGTGGTCAAAACCAGGTCAAATGTTTATTATGATCCTTCCTACTACAGTAATCCTCTTGGTTTTCCTATTACCACTTCCCTTCTTCCGTCTTTTCCACATCTCCCATCCGCCAACCCAAGCGCCCTAATCCATATAATTTCCATTTGCCCATTGTTTGCACTTTTTCAACCCGATTTTCCTTGTTTTTCCAGGAACCGTTTTTCATGTTTCCATTCTTTTCCGTTAATCGAATTAGAGAGACTTTTTGCAAAGAGGTTGTGGGGATAGGTTTACGACATTTTGGTATGCAAATTTTTTTTCGGCGGGTAATTTTGAATTTTAAGGTTCAAGGCCCATTTTTTTAAGCTAGTTTTAGGATTCACCAACAAAACAGTTGTCAATTGTTGTTGTTGACAAATAGAAAAAAGAAAAGTTTGCAAACAAAAATTGCATGGAAAGATAGGAAGAACTTGGAACCCCTCCCCCCTCTCCAGCAAACCAAAATACGTTTTCCCATTAAATTTTAATCAGTGGCCAGTTTTGGAGTTTTCGAATTTGAAGGCTATTCGAATTTAAAGGCTAGATTTTCAAATCGAATATTCCGACATTTTTTCAGAAAAATGACATTTTCAGAATTGACTTTCAGATAGATTCACAAGTTCTTGAACTAATTCTGATTTTCGGAGTGATAGAATTTTGGGATTTCGAATTTCTAAATTCCGGAAAATCGGAATATCGGTAATTTTGGATTTCAACAATTTTGGAATTTCGGAATTTCGGAATTTCTAAATTTCAATTATTTTTTAGCCAGATTACCTGCCAGAACCCCCAACATAATATGCAACGAATAAAAACTAGTACCATAACTTGTCATTCACTCATCAAAAAAATCATCTCTCCCCCTCCTCTTTTTTTCAAATAAATCATATAATTGACCTGCAAAACTGCATGAACAATGCTACATCCGAACATAGACGGGAAACCAGAAACAGGAAAAATTACGCAATTCTTGGCTACCTTTTTGGAGCGAAAATTTCGAAATATTCTTTTTTTTTTCTCCAAATTTCATAACTTTTTGCATTCTTTAGTAGGCGCCTGGTAGGTATTTTTTAGAGGTGAGAAATAATTTTTAGGCAAAAAATACAACTTCTTCGATATGTACTAAATTTTCAAAATTGAGTTTTTTCCTTGAACAAAAAATTCAGATGTCTTATTTTTCTTTGAAATGTATTACCGTACACACTCTAAAAATACTTTGAACTTTGAGCCAATTTCTTGGTTCCTGTAAGAGATATAAAGAAGTAGTTTACTGATAAATTAATTTCGATATTATAATTAATATTTTATCAGTTGACCACTTTTTGATATGTTTTACAGGAAATGAGATATATAAGTTCAAAGTTGAAACGTTGCTGGCTGCGCTACGCTGTCGGATGCATTGCTCTTAACTTTGAACCAATATATCTCGATTCCTAGGAAAGATATCAAAAAGTGGTCAATTAACAAAATAGTTTCGATATTATGATAATTATTTTATCAGTTGACCACTTTTGGATGTCTTTCACAGGAAATGAGATATATAAGTTCAAAGTCGAAAAGTTGACGCTTGCCAGCTGATCTGCACGGTAGGCTGCCGATCTTTTAAATCTCAGCCAATTTATCTCGGTTCTTGGAAAACATATCAAATAGTGGTCAACTAACAAAATATTTTTGATATTATGATGAGCATTTTATTAGTTGACCCCTTTTTGATATCTTCTACAGGAAATGAGATATATGGGCTCAAAGTGGACCGGCTTGAAATTTTTCAGCAGTTTTTTTACGAACTGATTGATCAAAAATGACTATTTAGGAAGATCCAAAAATAAAAAGATTCCTTCAAGCCTAGCCAACAGTAACTAAATTAATCGGAAATCCTAGACAAATCACAGTTAATTCCCGAAATCCCCGCACTTTTTCCTCTTGTCCTTGGAAGAATTGATACCCTCCGAACGTTCGTTTCTCTGCGTCTCTTCTCCTCACGCACTATTTTCGTCAAAATATCCGATTACTGTCTTCTGAATTCCTCCTGATTTCGGAAAGAGTGCCCGTTTTCGGAAATTCCAAGAATCGGGAAAATCGTAAAAACCATAAACCTCTGTCTATCACACCTTTTCGATAGTCTTTGAATTTCATCGAAAAAGGTTTATGCTAATTTTTCTCCATTTTTTTGAGTAGAGGAGACAGAAGAATAGGTTTTTTTTGTTAGGTGACAGTTACCCTGGTGTTGCAAAAGTTTTTTTTGAAAACTTTTTTTTTTGTAAAACTTGAATGTGAGAATTGGAAAGATGCTGTAGATTTCTGTAGGAGATGTTTTTCAATGTCTGGGTGTGGCAAGTTCTGATTCGTGAGCTGAAAACTTTATTTTATTTTTTTAGAATATTTGAGCTGCCTAGTTAAGAATCGAATTTTTTTGTCAAAGAATTCAAAAAAAACGAAAAATCGAAAAAATGGATTTATGTCTGAATTTTTTAAAGAAAATTTCTGAAATTATTAATTTTCAAAATTCAATTTTCAAAACCTGTAATAGAAGGGACCCTTCTAACTTCGAGCCAATCTATCTCGGTTCTTGTGAAAGATATAAAAAAGTTGTTAGAGGTCGGTAGCCGATCACGTAGCTCAGTCGGCAAGCGTCCACTTTTTAACGTGTAATCATATATCTCGGTTCCTGTATGAGATATAAAAAAGTAGACAACTGGCAAATTGTTTATCGTAATATCACAAACATTTTATTAGCTGCCACATTTTTTATACCTCTCACCGGAGCCTATATAAGTTGACTCAAAGTTGAAGGGTTGCTAGCCGACCGCGCGTAGCTCAGCCGGTAAGAGTCGACTTTCCAACTTTAAGCCCATATATCTCATTTTCTGTGAAAGATATCGAAAAACGGCAAACTGATAAAACATTAATCCTAACATAAACAATATTTTCTCAGTTGATTACTTTTTGATATTTTCAAAGGGAACTGAGATAAATTGATTTAAAGTAAACAGTTAGGTGTTTTTCGGATTATGAAATTTTCCCTTTCTGAAAATCAATAAATCTAGATTTTTGAAAACTTTCCAATTTTCTGATATCATTATCTTTTACTGATCCATATCATTCATATCCTCAAGTACAAGTACAGTATCATCAATCATCTTGGTATTCTCCTCTTCTCATATAACCTTACATAACCTCCTTCCGCTTGGCTCTCCTCCATTCTCCCCGCCAAAACTTTTTTCTCTATTACTCTCTCCAATCAGTACAATCTCTCTCCTACCATCTGAGAAATGACCATATGTTTCTTCTTCCGTCTTTATTTGTACACTTGCCCTCTGTCCCCGCGCTTCAGTGGTTGCTCCTCTATCTTGACCAGAAACTTAATGCACTGGGCTTCAAGACTATTTTTGCTGGTATTTCTATGTTTTGGAACAATTTGCACTTATTTGACGCTAGTTGGATATGTGTGTATGAGGAATTTGATTACGGTAACTTTTTGCATCTTTTTGAGCCACTTGAACTGTCTGAGAACCCAAAACATTCTCTAATTTATCTCTTCAATCTAAAGATCATAATAATGTTTTCTTATTCAGATAGTCGCGATCGAAATTCTGTCCGGATTGTGCTTCATTCCGGACGAGGGACACATCCAGGTTCTTCGAGCCATCACAGAGGTGAGTAAGGGGAAATTAGAAAAATTAGAGGAATTCAAATTTCTCCAAGAAAACAAATAAGCTTAATAATCTGACTACGTGATATTCTTTCGGAGTTCTGTTTGCTCTTTTTGTCTAATTCCAGGCGCACGATAGTTTAAATGGGTTCAAGGAAGCGAGTTTTGAAATAAAAAAGGATTTTGTGACAGTATGAAAAATAACTCTATTGCAGCAAGTTGTGGTTTTTTAGTTGACTCAATAAAACGAGAAAAAGAAACGTTTCTGAAAAAGTGGACAACTTTTTTGACGAGTTAAAACCTGTATTAGAAGGACTCTCCGGAAGGGTCTGCCCTTCTAAAACAGGTTTTACGGTATCTTCAAAGCCAATGGAAAGAGAGAAATTCCTATTTTAGCTGAAAGGGCTCCAAAATAAAGCCGGATTCTATACAAATGATCCAAATCCATTGGATAAAGTTTAAAAAAAAAGAGAAATCAACCTGTAATAGAAGAACTTTTCAAGCTTTTTTTTAGCTCAATTATCTCGGTTCCTATGGAAGGTATCAAAAAGTAGTCAATTGATTAAATAATGATGATATTATGACAAATAACTTATCAGTTGACAACTTTTTGATATCTGTTAAAGGAGCCGAGATAATTGAGCTCAAACGTGAATCAACTAACCAAAAAACATCTATATTTAGCCATAACAATATGCCTTATCATATTTTTCTGGTATGTAAGGAATTATCGGGTGATAAATGTGTGAATATATCTCTTATCACTTGTGTATGAACCAGTTTTTTAATGATAACAGTAGTTTTTTCTCACTATGGATTAATGTTCTTGGAAATTATTTTGTGACAAGATTTAAGTATTTTCTGCAGCTTCCAGTTGTCAATTCAATTTTTAATTTAATTTATTTCAACTAAAGAAAATGAAACATCTGATAACGATCAGTTCACTGTAAAATGCTCTTTTTTCCAGGTTAGCACGTTGCTCGGCGAACGAACCCGCTTCCAGACGCTTGTCTCCGACTTGCACCGTACGTATTCAACGGACAGAGACACCGACAGGGTCAGAACTGCCATATTTGGACTAATCAATGCATTGCTAAGGACTGGCGCAGCTGAGGTGAGTGAACTGAAAAAAGAGATGGGGAAGAAAAGAGGAAAGGAATACTATATAGGGAGATTTCATGGATAAATGATTTTTTGAGAAGAAATTGTGTTGAGGGATATGATGTTCACTTTCGCCCTCCCCACGCGCGCTCCACTTCCGTACTTGTTTTGTACTTGCCCCTGTTTAGGATGCGTCTAGGAAAACTGTTGTATTGTTTTTAGAAAAGTATCCAGCATGTTTGAAATATAGTTTTCTAGAACAATATTACTTGAATTTTTCATTTTCCTTTTGTAATCTGACAAACCCTCTAATTGAATGACCCCTTTAACTTTTAACTTTGAGCCAATTTATCTTGGCTCATGTGAAAGAAATCAAAAAGTAATCTACTAATAAAATATTTTCGACAAGATGATAAACATTTTTTCAGTTGACCACTTTTTGATATCTTTCACATGTACCAAGATGTGTTGGCTCAAAGTTGACGGGCTGGGTGGCACTCTATAACTTTTTATCATATGATCTCACGTTAAAAATAGTAAACACATATTTTTGACATGAATATTCCTATAAGTAGGTAAAATTGAATTTATTACGTGAAACTTTTTGAAACTCAAGTGGTTTTTAAAGCGAGAAAGTAGGAAAAACAAACGTGACCCCTAGTTCAAGCTGAAAATGGTTATTTAAACTCACATGAAAAAAATCAGCTTTTTTTCTAATTTGACCTAATTTCCGCTGTTTCTAGAACTGTGCCATCTATCGTCAACACCTCCGCTCCGAACTCCTAATGCTGGGAATGTCAACGACCCTGGAGCAGTGTCGTGGGACAGCTTCACAACGGTTGGAGGATCATATCGATCTGTTTGAAATGATGCGGAAGGAAGACGAGATATCTCTAGCTGGAAGTTGTACCAGCAGTGATATCTCTTCATCATCTGGAACCTCGTCTCCAATCGATTTTGAATCAGTAGTTGGGATGGCAGAGGCACTTCATCTAAAATTAAAACATAGTCTAGCGCTTCCACATTTTCATTCCCTACTCCAACATCTCTTCATGGTACCCGCTGATGATCAACATGTTCCGCTATGGCGTCTTTTTGATCTCATTCTTCAACATCTGACGCTTCAAACCACTGTGAATGGAATGACAGATGTTAACTCGCCTATACAGAACCACGTGGATATGGCGGAAATCTTGGCACGCCTTCAGAATCATTGCGACTATGAACGAATAGCTAAGGAACTGGAGAAGGCAAAAGAAGATATGGATATGGAGAGAACGAGGATATTGGAATTGGAAAATCGGTTGGCAGATTTCAGTGATGGACGAGCTGGTAGTAGAATCTCCCTTGCATCAACCTCGGCATCCTCCAGCCCCTCTGATCCGTGCCCTTCGCCTCCTCTACTTCCTCCGATCTGTCCTCCAGCTCCTCCTCCACCACCGCCAATCAACGGATTACTGTCAGGTGATGCACCGAAAGACGCGTTGAAGAATGTACCCGAACCTTCTGGAAACATGAAAACGCTGAATTGGCAAAGGCTGATTTCTGAGAAAACGAAAGGAACCGTTTGGGATGGGATTGATGATGAGAAGATTTACAAACAATTGGATTTGCAAGAGTTGAATGGATGTTTTGCGGCAAGTTCATCACATAAGGATGAGGATACCGACACGTTATATGGGACGATCAATAGGAGGCCGCAGCAGGCAAATGTGAGTTTTAAAGGAACATACGAGATTGGTACTACTGTGAAACCTGTAATAGAAGAGCACTCTAACTTTGAGCCGACTTTTCCCGGTTCCTGACGAATTTTTTAAAGAAAAGTTGTCAACTACAAAACTGCAGATCTAATTTAGTTTAGTAGACCTGCTCATTTTTCAGTTTAATTCAACAAACTTTTGATGTATGATTGTAAAGCCATATTAATTTTTATCTGGAAATTTTAAATCCATCAAACAAGTTGTACCTAGCGTGTTTGCTCTGATAGAAGCTGTGCATTTTAAGCTCAATTATCTGGGTTCCTGTGAGAAATAACAAAATTTGTTCAACTGGCAAATTTTTCATCATAATAAGACGAATATTTTAAAAGTTGACAAACTTTTGATATCTTCCATAGGAGCCGAGATAACTGAGCTCGATATGCACATACAGGTTGGGCTTGATACTTCGAAAAAATTTATATGTATATATCCAGTTCTGTACCTCAAACTCTTGTTCCAGATCACTGTCATCGATCCTCGCCGCTATCAGAACTGCACCATCATGCTTTCCAAACTGAAACTCTCCCATAAAGAAATCAAACAAGCGATGATGTCAATGGATGAGAAATGCAAGCTGCCCAAGGACATGATTGAACAAATGCTGAAATTTATGCCAACGAAAGAAGAGCTTTCCCAGATCAATGACAGTGTTCAGAAGCATGGAGGATCCCCGACTGTCCTTGCATTGGCTGATCGATACATGTTCGAGATTTCCAGCATTCCAAGATTCGAACAACGTCTTCGATGTCTTCATATTATTCGAAGCTTCCATGATAGAGTTGAAGCTCTCGTTCCATTTATTCAAGTCGTGCTGAAAGCCACGTCATCCATTCAACAGAACAAACGATTCCGCCAAATATTGACTATTATTCTAGCTGTTGGAAACTATTTGAATTTTGGGAAACGAAATGGAAACGCTTATGGATTTGAAATCGCATCGATCAATAAGTTGTCAGATGTTAAAAATACATTGAGGAATGATAGAAATCTTCTACACTTTGTGGTTCAATTCATCGAAAAGAAATATCCAGATTTGACGAAATTCAAAAAAGACCTGGCTACAGTAACCGAGGCAGCGAGATTCAGTCAATCAGAAACTGCGGCGGAGATTCGAAGTCTAGAAGAATCCCTCTTAATCGTCAGAAAGGAACTGAACCTCCTGGAATCTTCAGAGCTCCCCGAGCACATTTCATTAGAAGGGGATAGATTCGGACACGTGGCAAAAGGATTCATTGAGAAGGCCACAGGAGAGTATCACAACTTGGATAAGATGTTTAGAGAAATGAAGAATAAGGTGAGAAACGAAAAAAAGTAGTTGACTTTTTCCCTAAATAAAAAATTTTCAGTTCTCCGAGTGCGCCAAATACTTCTGCTACTCGCCATCTGGAGGAAATCCAATTCCAGAAGAGTTTTTCTCAGTGATCAATAAATTCCTGATCACATTCAACGAATATCATCATCAACTCTGGGTCGAGGTGGAGGAAGAGGAGAAGATCAAACGGCAAACCATTGCTAGATCGTTCTTGGCGAAGAAATGTGAGTTTTTTTGAATTATGAGACTCGTGGAAATTGATTTAGGATTTTATATGCCGATAGAGATATCAAAAAGGTAACCTCTAATAGAATTACACCCTAACCATCAACGTTGAGCTCAATTATCTCGCTTAAATTGGAAGATATAAAAAATTTGTCATTATTTGTGATATTATGATAAATAATTTACCAGTTGACAACTTTTTGAAATCTTTCACAGAAACCTAGATAAATTGACTCGAGGTTAGAAGGTCAGAGTGCAACTGTAATAGAATGATCAATAACTTTGAGCTCAATTATCTCGCTTCCTGTGAATGATATCAAAATTTTTGTCAACTGATTAAATGTTGGTGATATTATGGTAAATAATTTATCAGTTGGCAAATTTTTGATATCTCGAACACAAACCAAGAAAAATTGACTTGAATGTCAGAGTGCTGATTTCATAATAATCCTTTGATAAGTAATGATGTTTCATCTTCTTTTAATGATATTTCATCTTCCTTTTCAGCCACCACCCGCCGAAAAGAGAACCACAAAGAGCGAGACTTCGAACAGCTGATCTCCGCCCTCCAATCCGGTGACATCTTCAAAGAAGAGCTCTCACGTCTTCGGACATCATTCCGACCCAAAAAATCTGTCAAGTCATCATAAAGTTCCTATTTTTCCTTATATCTCTCACCATGTCCTGTTGCCCCTGAAGCTTTTAAAATTCCCCCAATCCCTGTCCAAAAAATGTCTGTTTTTCTAGCTCCCACTTGCCGATCTCTATGCATTTCGACACAAAATTACTGATGTACTTTTAGTATTTCTCTCTGTCGTCCAGTGGCCTTTTCTGTATTGCTCTTATCAAACTGATATCTGGTTAAATTATATGACATATTATACTTTTTTTTCAAAAAGTTGTTTTTGAAAAAAAAAAGTTACTTTATTGTAAATAAAACGCATCATTCTGTAAAAATGCATACTAAAATAAATAGAGAGCATTTAGAGCTTTTGATTCTGGCAAAAGGACTAAATTGAGATCATAAATTTATAGACAAAGGGGGAAAGAGCAATTATTTGTAGATTGTTGCAGAATGAAGAAATCCCCTGAATTCATCGATCTACCTGACTAGTTAGCCGCATGCGGAAGGCGTGGTCGCTTTGATTTTTGAGTGTTCTGAAATTGAACATTTTTCGAAAACATAAAAAATGTTTCCGGCCAAAATTTTCAAAGATTCGAAATGTGATTGGCTTAAAAAACCATGTTTTTTTGTATGTTCCTTTTTCTTTTTTTCCTGGATTACCATTTACTCTATTAGAATCCCACGCAAACCGTCAACTTGCCGGGTTGCCCAAAGGCGAACAAGCGGCGGCTGAGCTGAATTGGTGTAAAGCCAAACTGAACTAAAACCTCTTCAAAATCAACTGGCTGCAAGGCGCGCTTTTTCGCTCTTCATTTAAAACTGTGATAGTTCAGAAATTCAAAATTCCTGAATCTGAAACATTTTGCAATTCGAAAATCTAAAAATCTCAGAAATTCAATAATCTCTAAAATTCCAATATCTTTAAAATTCGAAAATCTCGGTGAAGAAAAAGAAGAAAGTTGCATCTGAAATGGAACAAGTTTTAGCTAAAGCCTAGGAAGCCGCTCCCACAGAAGTAATTCGAGCCGTAAATCAAAATCAGTAAACTTTGATCTACCCATAAATTAGGATTTTTAAAAAAATAGTATAAATTGAAATTTTTTGAATACTACTTTTTGAACTTCAAAAATTCAAAAATCAATGAAATTCATGAATCTTAGAAATTCAAAAATCTTAGAAATCCGGTTCAAAAATTTCAAAAGTCTCAAAAGTTCAGAAATTTTCAGCCATCTCTAATTTAATTTTTTCAGGTTATTCCAGCAACGAATCAACAATCTTTATCATTCATTTTCTGAAGTTTGAGACGCCATAAATTATTCCTTCGCTTGTTTACCAAGACTAATTGATTTTTAATTCTTTATTTGTGTTTGTACCGTTATATATTTTTTTCTTGAAAACACCTGGAAACGAGTTGTGGAGAAAACATTATCGATTCTACTATCAACAGAAGAATATATTTACCGGATTATTCTTTTTGGAAACATTCTGTAATTCGATTTTTCTCTAAATTATCTTTTTGAAGATGAAAATCGCTTTTTTCAAACTCAAATTCAAATCTCCCTCTATTTTCCGCTCCCCACTAAACAACGCGCAACTACGACGCTTCGCAAATTCCGTATAAAAACCGCGCGTTTCTTTTCGAAACACAGGATTCACAAGTCGCTTCGTCACTGGCGAATCAACAGGAAGCAAAGGTTTTTAGTGGATTTTCATGATTTTTTCATAGAAAATAGCCATTTTTGCCGTTCGAAATTAATTAATCGCAAAAATTTGGCCCAGAATCTAACAAAATTATAGAAATTTGATGGGGAGCGAAGAAAATAGACAGGGGAAATCGATAATATTACGAAACACAGATTTTCGTTCAATTTTTCTCATATTTTGAGGGAAATTGAATAGGTGTAAAATTTTCAGGGTTTTTTTTTTCAAATAAAGTTATTTTTTTGTTACTTTAACCGCTAAATTATTCGATTACACGCATTACAAAGGGATCCAGACAGTCTATTTTCAGAGAAAGGGTAGAGAAATGTCGGCCCCAGTTCAGTGTCCAGTTCATCCAGATGTTCATCTCATCGAAGATCACCGTGCTGGCGACTTGGTCTGCCCGGCTTGTGGTTTAGTCGTTGGTGATCGGTAAGCGTTGGGGAAAACAGAACAATTTTTGAAAAAAAATGACACCTATTTATAGTTTGGTCGATGTCGGTACCGAGTGGCGTTCATTCTCCAACGAGCGAAGCGGAAACGATCCGTCTCGTGTCGGAGCACCAGAGAATCCGCTGCTCACCGGTGGAGATTTGTCCACGACGATTGCCGTCGGATTCGGAGGCTCCGACAGCGACAACAGTTTGGCAAACGCTCAGAGAAAGTCAATGAACAACACAGACAGACAGATGACAGCGGCGATGAGCTTGATTCGTGAAATGAGCGAGAGAATTCATTTGCCAAGAAATATTCAGGTAAAAAACTATTTCCAATACTCAAAAATTATCCTTTTTTCCAGGACAACGCTTCCCGTATATTCAAAGACGTTCTCGACAGTCGTGCTCTTCGTGGAAAAAACAACGAGGCTCAAGCAGCCGCTTGTCTGTATATCGCTTGCCGAAAAGACGGAGTTCCTCGTACATTCAAAGAAATTTGTGCGGTTTCTCGTGTCTCGAAGAAGGAAATCGGTCGGTGCTTCAAAATAATCATAAGAAATTTGGAGACGAATCTCGAGCAAATCACATCAGCCGATTTCATGTCTCGTTTCTGTGGAAACTTGTATCTTCCGAACTCGATTCAAGCAGCCGCCACGAGAATCGCCAAACGAGCTGTTGATATGGATTTGGTGGCTGGGTAAGCGTTTTAGTTTCAAATTTGCATCAAAATGTGCAGAAAATCAAGTAGATTCCCATTAAAAAACTCGAAAAATTGCTCAAAAAGCAGCAAAAAGTCCGTTCTCGTCAATTTCTGGAAACTTCTGGATCGCCACCAAAACTGAAAACTCCCAAAAATTAGCTTTTTGCGATTTTTCGAAAGAAAATTTTGTTTTTTCTTCGATTTTTCGCAAAATTTTTAGACTTAGGATTTTCAGCTGTTTTTGAAAATTCTTTTTTGATTTATCCGGATGTGTTGTCTGAAATTTGACGGGATGAAGATTACTGTAGATCACTGTAGAATACGAATACTGTAGAAACCTTTAAAAAAACTTTTTGCAAGTATACTTGCAAGTACAATCTCTGCATTTTGACGTGACTGTGTTTGCAAAAAACCACCTACAAAACAATAAGCTTTCTACAGTAATCTACAGTAATCTTCGCGAACACCATCCCTTCAAATTTCTGACAAAAATTCGTAAAAATCCATACTTGTAACGGGCCAGGCCGGTCCGGGCTTTTTTTCCGAATTTCGATGGCCCGGCCCGGCGGGCCCGTCAAGTTTTGAAAATTTCAAAAAACACATAAGGGGGGCCCTTATGTGATTTTTTTTTTCGAGCTTTTCAGATCAAACAGATAAACAATTAAAAAAAAACCAAAAAAAAGGGAAAATTATATTGAGAGCTCAAAAATGCAGCATTTTTGATAATTTTTTGAAAATTGCCTTGAAAATTTCCTCAGGCCCGGCCCGGCCCGTAATTTTACAAGTATGTAAAAATCGAAGACGAATCTTCAGAAGTAGCTGAAAACCCTAAAAAGGTCTAAAATTTTGCTAAAAGTCGAAGAAAAACACGATGAAAACTGAGATTTTTTTGCTTTTGAAGCGATGAAAAGTTTCTTTGTTGCTATAACATATTTACAGATTTTTCACACACTGATGCAAACACAAATTACCGAAAATTCCAGACGCACACCCATCTCCATCGCTGCCGCTGCGATTTACATGGCATCACAGGCGTCTGGCGAGAAACGATCAGCTAAAGAGATTGGTGACGTGGCAGGAGCCGCCGAGATTACTGTTCGACAGACGTACAAGCTTTTGTACCCGAAGGCTGCCGAGCTCTTCCCAGAAGACTTCCGCTTTGTCACACCGATTGAAGCACTACCAAACTCATAAGATCTGGGACACAAGAGTGAGTATTTTCGTTAGAGATTTTTAAAGGCAAATTGGTTGTCGATAAGAAAAAAGGCGAAAATTGAGAATCTGCCTTATTCTCGCTCATTCCATTGCCTGAAATCTGTCGAATTTGTGCTCATTTTGACCGTCTAGCTGTGCTGAAGTACTAAAAAACCAAGTTTCAAGATATTTGAACAATATTGGGCAACTAGCCCAACTTCCGTCGTTTTTGGGATCGATCTGATTGTCTAGACGTGTTAGGCTCAAAAAGTTAGGCATAATGTATCAAAAAATGAATGGGCATGAACGGTACCTCGTCAGAAAATTGGGGGAGAATTCATACCTCGTCAAAAAATTTCTCCCGAAGGGAAAACTTTTTTGCTTTATTAAATTATCTACTGTAATCGCCCTGTTAATTTTTTAGCTCGTCAGAATTTTTTCGCGAAAAAATCGTAGCTCGTCAGAATTTTCGCCTTTCGTTAGGACACAAAAATGCAAATTGGCCAAAAATCCTAATTAGACCTAACTTTGCCCATTTTCGGTCAATTTAGCTCGTTTTTTATCTACCAAATATTATCACCAATGCTCCCAAATATGCTCTTTTGAAGCTCGAAAAAACTGGATGAAGCAATATTCATTATTGACAGTAAATTGAAAAAAATCACAAATTCAATGGATTAGTTTTAGAAATATCAATTCAAGGTTAAAATTTGGGTCTTCAACTTTTTGCTGATCTCCTTCCGAATCTCGCCAGCCGCTCTCTTATCCTTATCCAGTATCTCACGAGCACGAGCCGCGGTTTTCGGCCGCTCCAATCCGGAGTTTTGAATGTCCTGGAATTTTCGAATAGATCAGTTTCATCTAGATCCAACCTACGTTCATTTGCTTGATCCTTTCCTCGTTTTTCATTTGAAGTAGCTTGTCGCGCTGTTCCTTTAAATATTGAGCACGAGTGCGCACGTCAGAACTGTTCAAACGATTGATGTCCACAAGATGAGACTGAAATTCGTATTTGAATCCCCTCAAAAGGGAAAAAAATCCAACTCACATTCACATCATTCAAATTCTTCCTCCTTGGACCATGATCTCTTCCTGGAGACCCTGGACGTCCCATAACCACCTCGCCATCATACTTGTTACTTTTCAACGGTCCTATTGGCTTTGGCGGTTTTCTATCATCCTGTGGTATTGCATGTTTTCTCTCTCGAGGAACACTATCATTCCGTTTTGGTGCATTCTTGTCCACTGAGGATCTTCGAGTCACTGGACGTTCATCGAAGCCTTTTTGAAGTGGTGTCTTGGCGCGTGGCTCATGGGATCCGTCTGCTGCCTTACGACTTGGCGGACGCTCATCGGCTCTGCTGGATTTGCGGGTTGAAGGACGACTCCTTGGCTCCGATTTTTCGTCAGAAGCGCCTGTTTTCAGCCCTTCTAAATCCTCCAAGCCTGCCGTTGAATATTTACGCTCGTTTTTGGCGGTTCCTGGACGTTTTTTCTCCTTCTCCATGTTTTCAGGGGATGTTCCAGTTGACGTTTTCTTGATGGCGTCTGTTTGGGCTTCTGAAGTTGATGATTTTTTGGCTCCAGTTGTTGGGCGTTTTTTCTCCGTGTTCTCAGGAGATGTCCCGATTGGCGTCTCTTGGATTACGTCTATCTGAACTTCTGAAGAATCCACTGTTGTGCTGGTTGTTTTCTTGGATGCCGTTCTAGGACGCCGTTCTTCAGTGTTCGATTCAGCATTCACTTTCGAACCTGTCCTTGGACGTGCTTCTCCGTTGTCTGGATCACTTTTAAATCCAGAATCCTGGTTTGCTTTAACAGCTGATCCGGATCGTTTTCCGACTGCGGATCCGACGCGTTTCGCGGATTTCGGGCGGCTCTCTTTTCCTTTTTCTTTTCCATTCGTTGCTCCGAAGGCTGCTTCGTATGCAGCATCAAATCCTGCGTCTCCAGAAAACACTCCAGAAGGAGTTGTCATGGTTCCAGAAGAGGAGGAAGCCATCGTCCCAGAAGACACTCCACTAGATGTCATGGTTCCTGAAGACGTTGTCTTCTTGGCTTCTTCATCTAGAAGTTGGACCTTGATATCATCAGTATTGGTGGCTGTATCTATGGAGAACGTTGCTGCCATGATAGCCGCGACAGATCGAAGAGAAGACGTTCCTGGTACATCAGTTTGGGCACTTCGATTTCTCTGATTTTCCATTCTCTGAAAAGTTTTTCATTCTTTGAAAGAAGTTGACAGGCAAGATATATTCAACCCACCTCCATCTCGAGAGCTCTCTGGAGCAAAGCCTCCTCCCTTTCAATATCCCTCTCCAGCGCTTCCCGTTGAATTCGACTGTTCTGTGCCACTTGCTCCAACTCCTCTGTTCCTTTCTGCGTCGCTTCATACTCATCCTTACTATGACGAAGCACCGAAATGAGCACATATCTTTCGGTTTGCTCCGGTGTCATCTTTTTGTTTTTAAGCGATTCTCCGTCCTCTAACTGGAGGACAGAAGGGATTAGACCACACATAAACTCGATCATTTGTAGAGCTTGTAGTTGAAGCTCAATGTTTTTTCGCATCATCATTGGGACGAATACGTTGAAGTTCTGAGCAGCGAGAAGGGGTTCCAAGGCGACCTGGAATTTTGGATTTTGAAAAACCTTTGGGTATAATTCAAATATAGCCCCCCCCCCCCACCTTATAAACAACTATAGTAAAGTCTCCCACCAGTACAAAAATGGGTGAGGGTCTCTACTGAGGTGTGGGGGCTGAAGTTGAATTGGTTGATTGGAGTATGACCCCCACCAGTACAAAGTGGGGGCCTATACTTGAAGAACCTGGTATTCTTAAAATATGGCCCCCACCCCTCCCTGCCTTCTTCAATTAAAGCCCCCCAAAAAGAGAACCTTATCTGAGCCCCCCCAATTCAAAAATAGGTCCCCACCATTTTTTGGCCTAAGCCTGAATTTTAGAATGTTTTAATTTTGGAAGTTCTGCTAAGATATACATAGCTGAAAAGTATTTCTCAGAAGAAGTTCCCCAAGAAACAAGGAAAAATGGTGAAAACTGACACAAATTCCGAAAAAATTTAAAAAAAAGCCTAAAATTTGCATCATGACGGTTTCGGTACCCTTCACACACCACAAACTACGCAAAAGTGGGGGTTTATAATTGAATGGGTGGGGGCTTATTTTGAATTGGAATGGACCATTTAAAAGTGGGGGTCTATATTTGAATTGGTGGGGGGCTTTTTTTGAACTGCTGCAAGTGTCTAGATTGTTGGAGGTCGGGGGCTCTACTATGGTTCATTTTGGGGAGCTATACTTGAATTGGGGTGGGGGCTATATTTGAATTCAGCCAACCTTTGAATTAAAAACAAATTCAATTTTTTTCAGATCCTCTCCACCATCACCGTCATCTCTTCTCTCCAAGACCATCTCAACAGCCACCAGGGCCATTCCAGCTTATTTTCTCTCTCATTTAATATTTTATTCAGTACACCATCATCATAAATACTCTCTTTTTTTCTTTCCTCGAAAATTCAAAACCTCTCAAAAATATCATTTTCTTTCTTTTTCTCCTTTTTTCCACTTCTCCTTTTTTTTCTCTAATTTAATGAACTGGTTCCTATAGAGATCCCTCAGACTCCCCTCCCCCCTCTCGTTTCTCTATGTCTCTCTCTATTTCATCCGGCTCTCTGTAATATTTCCTCCCCATCCAGTCCCGTCTGATTTCTCTACTGTATTATTAATCTCAGAATAATGAATATTTTTTGGTCAACACATAGAATTTATTGAGAGAATTCCACTGGTTTTTTATCCCTTTTCCCTTACTTTTTTCTTTTTTAATTTAATTTATTGTTCTGGTTCAAAAAATAGAAGCTGTGGTGGTCCCACAAAGACAACTACCGTAACCTGAAAATATTTTTAACTTCTCGATTTTTCTGTTTTTTTTTTGCTCATGAAAATGACTGAAAACAGCTGAAAATCGAAAAAAAATACGATTTTGACTGAAAATGAGCCGAAAAACCATAAAAATAAAGTAATTTTGACGGAAAATAAATAGCTGGAAATTTCCAAAATATTGAGAATTTTTTGAGCAAATTGTTGCTGAAAATAAGCCAAAAAAAAAGTAAAAAAGAGATTTGAAAATGCTCTGAAAATCATGGAAATTGGCAAAAAATTGACATAAAAATTGATAATTTTCAGTTCTTAATTGGTTAAAAAGCCGAATTTGAAGACACGAAAACCGAGAAAAATAAATCCTTAAATAAAAAAAAATGTTTTCGGGTTACTGTAGTTGTCGTTGCCTTCAACTCTGATTTTTCAGCATCAAAAGCAAATTTAGAAAATGGACACGGTCCAAGCGATCATCCAACAGCAAATCGAGGCTGGAACATTTCTGCAATCGGTTCAGCAGGGACAGCAACACGTGCAACAGGCAGATGCGGTGAATTACGGTGAAGAGGAAGAGTATGAGGATGAAGAGGGCACTTATGTAAGTTTGGCCGGCCGCGGCCCAAAAGCCTGGGACCGACCAAAGACTACATTTTTTAGAAAGGAAAACGAAGCAACACCCTTCCAATATGGGGGAATCAAGTCACTATGAATCTGAATACACTGGTTCTGGAGAACATACGAGAGAGCTACTACTACAAGAACAATCTGGTGGAGATTGACTCGTTTCAGACGCTTGTAGAGCAGATTTTCTACCAGGTTGGTGGTTTAACGCTGAGCAATCAGTTCAAATTTGCTCCAAATTGAAGCTATTTCAAACCTGATTCAACGCTGAGCGATCCATTCCAGGTGAAACATCTGGAACCATGGGAGAAGGGCACGCGACGTCTTCAAGGAATGACTGGAATGTGTGGAGGAGTTCGAGGCGTGGGAGCCGGTGGAGTCGTCAGCTCTGCCTACTGTCTCTTGTATCGACTCTTCAATTTGAGAATCACGCGAAAACAGCTTATAAGCATGTTGAATAGCCGACAATCGGTGTATATCAGGTAGGCTGAGCAATGGGGCCCCTCTTTTAACAAGTACACCCCAATTTTCAGAGGCATTGGCTTCATGTACATTCGGTACACCCAACCACCAGCGGACCTTTGGTATTGGCTAGAGCCCTATCTTGACGACGACTCGGAAATTGATCCAAGATCCGGAGGGGGGATCTGATGTCGTTTGGACAGATGGTGAGACTGATGATCAACAAGCTCGACTGGTATGGAACACTTTTCCCAAGGATCCCCGTGCCGATTCAAAAAGAAATCGACGAGAAGTTTGCTGAGAGAAAGAAGCAACAATTGATGGAGGAGGAGGAGTGGCAAGAAGGGGAAGGACTGGAGAAGGAGGATGAAGAAGCGAAGGTTCTGCCGAAGGTCTCAAAGTGTAAGCATCACTTGAGACATCATCACTGCAGGAAGCATCGGAAGAATTGTCCAGCTAAGGCGAAGAGGTGGGGAGGAGTGGAATAGGGTTTTCTAGGCCATATGGTATTTCAGACTCCACGCTGAGAAGGTCCAGAGAGAGATGAAGAAGAATTTGGAGGAGAAATAAGGTAATTTAGGATTTCATTTTGGTCGACCGCTGACCGACCGCCGGCGGACCGATCGAGCAGTTCGGTAATAGCTAACCTTGTAATGATGAGAGATATCCTGCTGATTGATAGTCTTGATAGCATCGATTAATTCAGCTGGAGTGGTTCCCACGTCTTCACAGAAGCACTCGATCTGAAACGACGTTTCAAAAACGTGGCTTTTTCTAGCTTATGGGAGAATATGGGACCTATATATTTTGAGTTGGGTATGAATATGGAGTATATGGGAATATGGGACCTTACCAAAGTATCGATTAGTTGAGAGTACTCCTTATGAATCTCCATATAGACTTCAGTCTCCATTTGAGCGCGGTCGAATACTGGAATTTTTGAATTAGCGAACATGCTCACTTTGAGCTCAATTATCTCGGTTCATATGAGAGATATCAAAAAAATGTTCAACTGATGAAATGCTTATCATAACGTCCCCAATGTTTTATCAGTTGATAAATTTTCGATATCCCTCATAGGACCCGAGATAATTAAGCTCAAATTGACGGTTCGGGAGGCAGTGTGCCTTTTGATGTTCCACCGAAACTGTAAACTTTAAGTTCAATTATCTCGGCTCCTATGCAAGATATCGAACATGTTTCAACTGATAAAATGTTTTTCATAATATTAGAAATATTTTATCAGTAGACAATTTTTTATAACTTCTGTAGGAACCGAGATAATTGAGCTCAAAGTATACGGTAATTTCTCTCGAATTTCTAAGCTCTTACCAACTGATTGTCCTTCTATGAAAGAGGCAATCGGAATGGACCAGACTGGAGAGGTGATGAATTCCAAGAACTTCTTCACCAACTTCTTGTACTTTCTCTCATTGTCGTTGGTGGATGATGCGGCGCCGTCTGGCGGGTTCCTGTTCTTTTTGGAGAATCGGCGAAGCATCTCTGGAATTGGTCCTCAGTGATAGGGGAGATGGTGGTTTTAGGTTGTTCGATACGAAAAAATTTTTCGGACTAGAATTCTTTTTGTTGGGTTTCTAGGTCATCAAAAACATGTAATAGAACGTCCTCCCCGACTTTCGACTTTAAGTCAATTTATCTCGGTTCCTGTCAAAGATACCAGAAGGTGGTCAACTGATAAATTGTTCGTCATAATATAAGGAGTATTTTATCAGTTGACACGTTTTTGATATCTCGCATAGTAATTGAGATAAATTGGCTCAAAGTAGGATAACCCATTTGAAACAATTGGAAATCGTCAGTTTTGGGTCCTAAAAAGGAAATCGATTCTATCAGAGAAGATTGGAATTTTTGTCTGAAATTTTCAATCTGAAAATGTCTAGAAGCAAAGAAACGAGCTACTGCTTCTTAGAACCGCAGAAAAGTGCAAATTTCGCGCTGCAAATTCTAAAAAATTAGTCTAGAAATAAGCATTGGCACGGGAAGAAGTGCTAATTTTGGCGCATGTCTGGCTCCGAGCACTTTGTATTCTTCACATGAATTCGTTTAGAAAAATGGTCAGCCTGCAGAAATGAAGCAATATTTTTGTCCTCTTTTTGACAAGTCTGATCTGGAACCGACGGTTCCGAAACGTCAACTTTGAGCTCATATAACTCATTTCCTGTAAAAGATACTAGAAATTTGTCAACTGATAAAATGGTCATCAGAATATAATCAATATTTTATCAGTTGACAACTTATTGATATCTCTTATAGGAAACGAGATATAAAGGCTCAAACTCAGATGGAAATTCTATTAGAGTATCAGGTCCCTAACTTTAAGCCAATTTATCTCGGTTCCCATGAAAGATATCAAAAAATTGTCAACTGATAAAATGTTAATGATGAACTGTTAAACAGTTTATCAGTTGATAATTTTTTATATCTCTTATAGGAAACAAGATATATGGGCTCAAAGTTGATGGTTCTAGAAGCCCAATAGATTCTAGATCATCCAAAAAATCCTACTCCCTAGAGTTGTTTACACAAACATTCTCTAGCTAGATGATGTCATACGTTCGCTTCTTTCAAATTAGCGACACTTCCTATTCTCGAAAAACAACTCCCAACTCGGCCTAATCCACGACTCTATAAGGATATCTCATACTTTTACCCTCCCTAGGCTTGATAAAACCCTGATAAGAGAGTAGAAATCATGAGTAACTTGAAAAAAAGAAAATTAGTGTCAGCTGCTGCTCCCAAGGGAACTTGTGAGCCTGAGGGTTGTCACGGTGACACAATGTCGCCCGTCGTCGTCCAGCTGCCGCTCCACGACGTCTCCGAAATCGCCAGGACCCGCCTTTTTTCTCTGGTCTCTCTGCCTAATGTATCTTTTCCTGTCTTTTGGCCGCTTTGTGCGCACTGCTATGGAAAATTTGGAGTGAAAAGAGAGAGGAAGGAAATGGAGATTTATACGAAGAAGAGAAGGTGTGACTGCTCTGGAAAAAGAAGTAGAAGAAAAAGAAAAAATTCTTTATTTGAATATATGGCTTCAGTTTCGGGGATTATGACGAAGGACACACAACACATTAGACGAAAATTCCACCGTGGTGCTTCGGATACGTGTAGTTGAGCTCGCCGGTGTCACTGATCTCGAAGGCTTCCACTTTGTAGTCGACGAGGAAATAGAAGGGACGTTTGCGGGGATGGAAGAGGGTTGAGGTGGTGGCTGAAAGTGACAAAGGTCCCGAATTTGGAATTTTTGGGGTCCAGAAGGCAGCCAAAAGTGACGCTCAGATTCCCAGGATTGGAAATTTGCAGTTGAAATCAGTGCTACCGTACCTTCTTATGGGAGAGCACACCAACTGGGAGGAAGAGAAATATCGGTAGGGACCATCTGTGAGGAAAAATAGGCGGAGCCTAATTAGCAACCCTGGCACGGTTTCGCCGCATGGTTTCCTTTACCATTT